GATGAAGAAACTTTTGGACTGTGGGGAATCCTGCTTAAATCACCCCAGCACTTTATAAGTACAGGAGTACGTGAGGTGACGGACGCCGTCCTCCGTATGTTGGTACGCTGCTTGAGTGCAATATCGCTGAATGTTTACATGTGTATGAACGTCTAAAGGTTAGCTAGTCCAGAGGCTAAGCTAACCGCTTCATGCCACAGACACAGTATCTCTAGTGCCTGACTGATATACAGTATTTTTTTATAGTTCAAGTCATTTCGACATTACTGTTCACAACCGTGGGATACTGCAGTAGTGAGGCTGCTTTACTGCAGTATGCTGGTCAGTTATGGGTTCTTATGGTATTACAGCATGAGTTCTGCTGTTTAGTTTGAATGAGTTGGAAGTTCCTCTCCTCTCCCCTCCTCTCCTGTCCTCTCCTCCCCTCCCCTTCCCTCCCCTTTCCTCGTCTCTTATCCTCTCCTCTCCTGTCCTCTCCTCTCCCCTCCTCTCCTCTCCCCTCCTCTCCTGTCCTCTCCTCCCCTCCCCTTCCCTCCCCTTTCCTCTTCTCTTATCCTCTCCTCTCCTGTCCTCTCCTCTCCTCTCTTTTCCTCTCCTCTCCTCTCCTTCCCTTCCCTCTTCTCTTATCCTCTCCTCTCCTCTCCTCTTCTCTCCTCTCCTTCCCTTCCCTCTTCTCTTATCCTCTCCTGTCCTCTCCTCTCCTCTCCCCCCCTTTTCTCCCGCCTCCATCAAGGCATCAATCCCTCCTCCTCTCCTCTCCCCTCCTCTCCTCTCCTCTCCTCTCTTCTCCTCCCCTCCCCTTTCCTCCCCTTTCCTCTTCTCTTATCCTCTCCTGTCCTCTCCTCTCCTGTCCTCTCCTCTCTTTTCCTCTCTTTTCCTCTCCTCTCTTCTCCCCTTTTCTCCCGCCTCCATCAAGGCATCAAACAAATTATAAAGAAACCCAATCACAGCTGATTAAACCCCTGTACGATGCAGGGTCATGTGACCCAAGCTCGTCACTCTAGCCTGCACACGACTCCTTCCATTTCTGATGTACGGTCCATCACGCTGTTGACCCCGTTTGGACGGATGTTCAAACACCGAAGTCTCTGAACAGCTGTAGATGTTCAGGCTTGTTCTTTTTTGGTGTTTCTGCTGCATTGGGAGTAAAAACAGTTCCAGGTTCAGATTTTTTCACTTCTGAATCAGCGAGTAATTAAAGAGACTCGTCTTTATTAGCGGCCCTAAAAAAGTCTCTCCCTGAGCGGTCGTTTCCACAGTAGAACCTCAGTTACTCCCTTACCTCTAGAACTCCCCGCGCTTAACGACATCGTAACTCTTTTAGTGCGTTGCCTGTAGTCATTAGCACAGACGGCTAGGTCCAGGCGGTGAATCGAACGCTAACACATTTATTTATAGTTGTTGGTGGAACAGTCGGTGTCCAAACCTCCTGTGGGGCGGAGACATCTGTCCTGTAAAAGTTCAGAATTGGACTTTTTTTTTTTTGTTTTTTTAGTCTAGAGGCTGGACACTAGGGGTCAGTAGTGAGTCCCTCGTGCTGTAGTTTTATCGTCATTTGTTGTGATGAGGAAACAAAGGTAATATTTTAAAAATAAATGCTGTTGTGCTTTTTTTTTTCTTTTTTTTTTTTTGGCTTCTTGGATGACGGAGGCGTTCCTTTGAGTTGTGGTCGTTTTATAACAGCTGAGAGTTGACGATCCGTACTGTACTAACAGAGAGGCGTCCGTGTTGGTCTGTATTTATTGGCCTGCGTGTTGGACAGCAGAGTGGTAAGAACCTAAACACGTGTCACGTATGTGAATTTTATCTTTTCCTGATTTGTGTTTTTTTTTTTTTTGCTTTTATTTATTGCCAGACTCAAGTGGGTTTTTTTTTGTTTGTTTTGTTTTATTGGAATCAGAGACGATGCTAACAAGTTTAGCCTTGTTAGCATCCTTCACTGCTTCTTTCACTGCTACAGTATAGTAAACGTTATGTAACAACATAATGGACGCACTGTGAGCTGCTCAGCTCTGCCAGCCTCAACTATGGTTACATAAAATACAAACACTCACAATCTGGTCGGAGCACACTGGGAAAATGAAGGGATGAAGGGGGCGGGGGGTTGGACGGGGTTG